AGGTTTGTACTCCTAAAGGTCTTTCCATAAGCATTCGTAGCAATACAAGTATAGTTTCCTTCATCAGAGAAGTCTACTTTAGGAATCTCAAGAGTTCCATCAGGATGAATAACCCAATGATCCTTACGTTTATTACCGACCACTATCCACGTAATTCTAGGCTTTGGTGATCCGTAAACAGCGCAACGTATACGTACGATTGATCCTCGCACAACCGTTGCCATGGATTCAACTCGTTCAATGCGTGGTCTTGTGAACTTTCTTGCGGCAGACCACTGACCAGGTAACGGAGGCACAACTGTAGTCGAAAATGAACGAACATTCAAATTGAAATTGTTATATATGGTACGATGATCTGCCAGCCTTACCTCCAACATTGAGATGAGTAACACCCTCATCACTGCCTGCTATGTTAGTAGCAACACAGATGTACTGAGCAATATCCAAGTCATTGGTTCTCTCGATCGACAGGAATCCATTTTGATCGACATATGTACCTCTAGTAAACAGGCCTATTGGTTGTCGTGTTTTAGTCCCCTCAGGAACCCTGAACCAAGTAATATTAGGTGTTGGGATGCCTTTGGTTTCACATTGGATTCTGATAGATACCCCTCGAGGTATTGTTACTACGGCACCTGTTTGTATGGAGAYGAGTTCCCGGATGTCTGTGACGTCAAATGATCCTCTGACGTTCGTTATAACAGGAGGAGCTAACAAGGAAAAAAATAGCCATGAATGAATGAAATAATCTAAAGGAATAATTCCAGGAAATATTTCACCAAGTATCACTTTTCAACTTACTTGCAACTGTCATATCAATCTTGGCRAAATCAGTTCCTGCACGGTTAAAGGCAGTACAGACGTACGACCCGGCATCATCAAACCCAACATTAATGATAGTTAACTTTGAATTATCAGTATTGAACCTGTACTTCTTGCTAGGAAGTATGGGAACGCCTTTTCTTTGCCAAGATAGTTTAGCTCTTGGTCGCGCAAGAACTGGGCAMGATACCACAATTACCGTACCAGGCCCGGTGATGAGATGAGTACCAACGGTGACTCCTATTGGCTTAGATTTGTTGAAGTCTTTGATTGTTTTCTTGACTACACTGATTGTTGGTTGAAGGAGGCCTGGGAATCACAAGGCCGTCATTGTCACCATGATACGACACTTGCACGAATGGTTATCGATTAGGAACGAGCGGTTATCAATTAGCTTAACAGCATACGTACGGCGGTGTTATTAAGTTAAAAGCAAAAACTTTTAAGAAATTCTTTATTTAAAAATAAAGATTTTCCTGTGATTTCGTAAAACAACCACATTACACACCATTGGCTGTTAGATAGCAATAATCACGTAAATCCTATAATGGACATTGGCTGTTAGATAGCAATAATCACGTAAATCCTATAATGGACATTGGCTGTTAGATAGCAATAATCACGTAAATCCTATAATGGACATTGGCTGTTAGATAGCAATAATCACGTAAATCCTATAATGGACTTGGGCAACAATGGACAGAAGTTATTGCAGTCAAAAATTCAAGTCGATCATACCTTTGATGATTAATTCAGTCGTTGCAGAGTCCTCGCCCACAATATTTGTAGCAGTGCACGTGATCGCCGACGAATCTCTCGGCTGCGCACCAAAAATTCTCAAACTTCTTTCACTAAAAACATATCGATCACCATTTCTAATGGGATTTCCAGCAATTGTCCATTTAACTTGTGGACGTGGGAATCCTGTGGTATTGCAAAGAAGCAAGAGATTGGATCCAATCAAGGTTTCGATGCTTCCTCCAATGTTAGACGATACCGATGTCACTTCGTGTACCACGAGTTCTTCGTTTGTTTTTTGAATGACTGGAGTTACAGGTTCTGTGAAAACAGAGTTACAGAAGAGTATTCAAGTAACGAACGGACACGTAAAATATACGCAGCTTTAATGGAAATCAATGTTTCTCTGACTTAACTTCACATGCGTGCGTACAAACTATACCTTAATCTTTTCCATAAACTTTACGTAAGTTCAGTAACAAAAACCAAGTTACGCACGAATGCACGTAAACCTTACGTACTTTGAATCAATACGAAAATCCTGCTTTATCATAACTTGGCCTTCGAAACGTGATCCTTACGTTAATCCAATTTTTTACGTTTGTGATCAAGATCAAAGAAAGTCTAACGTAAACGTACCTTTAACGTGAATCATAGATGAAGCAGTAGCATTTCCAGCAATATTTGTAGCAATGCAGGTGTACTTCCCAGCAAGGGATTGGTTTACGTTACTGAGTTTCAACAAGGGTCCTTTAACGTCAAGCATTTTCCCGCCATTCATCCATTCAATGCTGGGCGTAGGTACACCACGTGCAGAGCACGTGACAGTGATATTGACGCGACTGAGCGTTTTCACGTGATGGCCAATGGTTGCATTGATTTCTTGGAAATCTTCTTTATCTATYACACCTTGTGTTCTCTGAATGACAGGGACTTCAGCATCTAGAAACGAGGCGGATAAAACAAGGTACGAGGTAAATAGTCTACCTTAACTCCGGCCTTGGTAACTGAGATGAAATGGGATGGATGGATGGATGGTCGTATGGAAGAGGTTATGAGAAGTGGAGCCAATAGGTTCATAAACAGAAAGATGATAAAATAGAAAGGAATTGACAAAGATTGACTGAATAAAAGACTGAATGGAAATGGAAAATGAATGAAAACAAATAATAAATAAATGCACAAATATGTGGSAAGGTGAACATGAATGTTTGAAGCCATTTATGTGTTCRKTCCATCCGCAAATTTTCACCGTGGTTCTTACCGATCAAATCGATAAAAGATGTCAATTTATCTTCACCAAAGTCATTTTTCGCCGTGCAAGTATATTCCCCAACATCTTCCAGCTGGCTTTTCTCGATAACCAGACTATTATTTGGTAAAATTTGGTAAAACTTCCCTGAACTGATTGGCAGGAAGTCTTTTGTCCAGGTAATCTTTGGCTGAGGAAGTCCAGTTGCCACACAGTCCAACACGATCGAGTTTTCTGTTAGCGTGGTGATTTGGGTACCAACACCAGCGTTGATAAGTTTGTGCATTTCTATTGATTCAATGGAACTGACTGGAGGTCTTTTAATATGAGGCTTGATGGGTTCTGTAGAATAGAATTACAAACAATGTAGATTTTACATTATAAAACTCATTAATATTCATAATGCAAAACACAATAGAAATCATAGCCCATGAAGAGAGTTGTATATTACATACAGATCGCCCGCTCATATTGTATATATTACATACAATTCAAGTGTAAGTAAAAATACTGACTTATGACTTTGATCGTAGATGACTCCTTGTCTTGTCCCTGTACATTCTCTGCTTCACATGTGTATCGTCCACTATCCTCAGGCTTAGCATCCTCGATCAACAAGGATCCATCTTGTTCAATCTTGTAACCATCCTCCAACAACAACAGTTTGCCATCTTTCTTCCACCGTATAGTCGGTGAGGGAAATCCGCTGGCCAAGCAATTGATTCTTATGGTTGTATTGGCGATTGATGTGAGATTTGAGCCCACAGTCATGTTTAATGGTTTTGTATCGTTACTAGAAATGTTTGTTGGTTTGTCTGTCTTATTAATCTTAGGTTCTTCGGGTGCTGAAAAACAAATTGAACAAAAGTAATCAATTGGSACCTCAAAGATGTCCGTTATAACGAGAGTTGACTTAATAACRACTTAGACCTTCACCTTTTGATAATATACGAGTTATTGCATCAACTTTGCCTGCAATATTCTCTACGGTACAGCGGTATGTCCCTGAGTCATCAATAGTAATCTTCGTGATGACTAAAGTACCATTTTTCAACATACTGTACTTGTTTCCTGGAATGATCTTCTCTCCATCCTTACTCCAACTCCATTTTGGTGGAGGGGCGCCATTAGCAGGGCAGTGAACGGTAATGTTTGAATCAGTGAGAGTTGTAATGTTGTCACCAATTGWGGCATTCACGTGACCAATTTGCCAAGGGGGAATGGTACTGGGTTTGTCAGGTTGAATGATATTTGGCTTTGATGGTTCTGTTTTGACGACAAAAAAAAACGACAAAAAAAAAACAAAAAAACAACTGAATTCAAAGAGATGATATACACTGTGGTCGCAGTTCAAACATTGATTAATCAACAAGATTTAACAAAATTGATATTCTCGCGCTCCATTATGGTGCAAGGCTATAGCACAAGACGGCCATGTTGGTTTGCCCACTTTAAAACCCCCAAAGCTTCGTGGGAAATACACAGGAATYCCATCAATACTCAGTACACATTGATAGCTCTAATGAGTGATATACTCACCGATAACATGTATACTCGACGTCGCGCTATCCTCTCCCACCACATTCTTCGCTGTACATGTATAAAGTCCCGTATCATTAAGACCAGCTTGGGCTATCGTAAGTGTACCATTCGTATGAACCACGTATCCATCAACGTTACGAAGGACTTTGCCATTCTTGGTCCACGTTAAGGTTGGTGTAGGGACTCCACTCGCCACGCAGTCCACACTGATTGTCGTACCAACAACACCAGTTACGTTGTCACTGATTGTCATGGTTACTGGAGTCAAGTCTTTGTTAAATATGTTGGTTGGTTTGTCTGGTGTGGAGATTGTTGGCTTTTGAGGTTCTGAGGAGTACAAGAGTACAATGTTATATTATCTGAAACATTCACGCGATATCGTGAACCGAGATAATTGAAGAAGAAGCCCGAGTAATAACATTACGATATTGTGAACCGAGATGACTGAAGAAGCCCGAGTAATAACATTCGCGATATCGTGAACCGAGATGATTGAAGAAGAAGCCCGAGTTATGAACCAAACTCACCTATCACATTGACATACACCTCTTCGCTGTCTTGACCCCCAACATTGGTGGCAGTACAAACATATCTACCTGCATGTCCAAGCATTGCTTTAGGAATCTCTAGAGATCCATTAGTATGTAACACGAACAAACTATYGTCCTTCTTTATCACTTTGCCATTTCTAGTCCAGGTGATGATCGGTGGTGGATCACCGTCCGCATCGCAGTCGATCAGCAACCGAGAACCAACCAATGATGTCACATTATCACCCACACTCAGTGTCACGTGATCGGTATCTGTGGGTGGGATGTTGCGTGGATCTATTGGCCGATCGATCGCTGGTTTGGTCGGTTCTGTAGAAATAACGTACAKTMATGCGTGATGACCAATCCGATGCGAGATTATAATGAATCAAAGCAAAAGATTTAAAAAATAATCAGCGGTGGAAGAACACATGTGAAATTTGACGTTTGACCGTAAGTAATGCTTGTGTATTATATATTCCATACATTGACAAATTTTCCGTACTGACGTATCACATTCAATACTTCCGTATCTCTTTCCGTACTTCCGTATCTCTTTCCGTACTTCC